GCAAAAGCTGGTTCTTGGGAGCAAAAAACCCCCTTCCTCTTTTAATGTAAAAAGCATAAATATACTTGAAGTTCGTAACAGGTATACAAGAGCCCTGTGACTTCAACTTTTATGGGGAGGGGTGTGAGTACTGAAGAATATTGACTGCACCATGGACTGCCAGAGGAATAGACAAAGCTGTCTTAGAAGAAGTACGCCCAGAATGCTCCTTGGAAATGAGGATGGAGCCACGTTGTCTCATGTTCTGTGGACACGTTATTGGGGGGAACAGTCCCTGGAGAAGCATCATGCTTGGCCAGCGAAAAAGAGGAAGATCCCCAATGAGATGGATTGACAAGATGGCTGCCACAATGGGCTCAAACGTTGCAATGACTGTGAGGGTGGGGCAGGACGGGGCAGCGTGTTGTTCATTTCTACACGGGGCCACTGTGAGTCTGAGCTGACTGGGTGGCACCTAACAACATGATTTGAAAAGAAAAATTTTTTTGGAAAGGCTTCTTGGAGGACAAGAATGAAAAACTGGTTGAGGAACTGTTTCAGGGCGGGAGGAATATATCTGCGTCTAGTGAGACAAACGGAGCCCTGCTGGTGCAACGGTTAAGTGCTCAGTTGCTAACCAAAAGGTGATCTACTTTCATAAGGATAGCCTTGGAAACCCCGTCCGGGAGTTCTACTCTGTCACTGTCACATGGGGCCACCATGAGTTGGAATTGACAGCAACAGTAAGCTGAGCGTTCCCACTGGGAAGAATGTATCCAGAACTTTCGACAACACAGGTCAGTTTCTTCCAGATTACAGCTTTGCAGTCCACTCTTGATTTAAAATGAGAGGATGTCCTGTGTCCCCTCCTAACTTGGTCTGGGGTCCCAGCTGAGGGTGTGCAGTGTGGGGTTTGCCCTGGGAGGCTTGTTGGGGGTCAGGGAGATGCCATTCTAGAAGGTTACAGTTTTCACCAGCATGGGGACTACATCTACATCTGGGCTGCAGCTGGTACAGGTGAAATGCTGGCTATTGGACAATCCTACACTGCCAGGGGGCTCTCCCTGGTCCCCCAGGTGGCCGTGTTTGTTCGAGGAGGGTGGATAACTCCCAGCTCCTAACACACTTGATGGAGGATGAACGTCGATCCTGCTGAAAGAGTAAGGGTTCAGGAGGGAAAAACACCCCATGCGCCCGTGTCTGAAGTTTCTGAGTGGTGCGCTGAACAGTTAAATGGTAAGTGGGGACAGCTGTGGAGTGAAGGCGCCCTCCTGAGAGCACCTCTGCTTCCTGTGGCCTCTTCCTCCTTGTGGTTTAGCAAGGAACACAGCCTCTGGTGAAGTGGACTGGGAGTGCATTGCACTTTGGGTCTGGCAGGGTTTTGAACTGGCTCATTCCGGTTCGAGCCCTGCTGAGAACTTGCATTTCCACCCCAGACAGACTGAATCAGAACCGCTATTTTAATAAGACCCCCGGGTGACACTGCTGTATGCATAGTACAGACATAGAAACGTATACATAAAAGTATGTACTATACACATTTAAAAAAAATCACTGCCATTGAGTCAGATCCGACTCATAGAGACCCCTCCATGGGTTCCTGAGGTGGTATCACTACGGAAGTAGACTGCCCAGTCTTCCTTCCGAGGAGTGGCTGGTGGGTTTGAACTGTAAGCCTTCTGGTTAGCAGTCAAATGTCTTAGGCACTAATCCACCAGAGCTCCCAATATACCTAATATTATGTATACGTAAGACTTACCTAAGGAGCTCTAACCTCTGACTGCTAACCAGAAGGTTGGTGGTTCAAACCCACCAGCCACTCCACGGAAAGAAGACTGAGCAATCTACTTACGTAAAGATTTACTGCCTTGGAAACCCAACATGGGTCGCTATGAGCCGGAATTGACTCAATGGCAGTGGTTTTTTTTGAAAGAATCACCTGGGGATCCTGTTAAAATGAAGATTCCGATTCACTGTGCCCGGGATGGAGAGGCAGACTCCCAGCAGAGGGTCAGACGAGAGTGAACCAGTTTAGAGGCCTCGCTCTGGCTCCCTTCCACCCAGCTCTGGCGGCCTGGGAAGAGCTCTGAAGTCTTGATGCCTCCCATGTTAAATCACACACTGCTCTCACAGTAGAGGCAGAAAAGGCTGGCTAACAGGAGACATAAAGGGCTCGCTAATGGAGCGCCTTCTGGTTAGTTTAGAGACAAAGCTCCAGGGAGCCCCATGTGCCTGCTCTAGTCTAGTGGGTGTGTGCCACACACAGAGATGTGGGCACTGCTCCCTGTGGGTGCAAATGGTTAAGGTGCTTGGCTGCTAACCCAAAGGCTGGAAGCTCACCCAGGGGTGCACTGGAAGAAAGGCCTGGCAATCTACTCCTGAGAAATCAGCCATTGGGTGCCATTTAAGCCGACACACATGGGGTTGCCGTGGGCCGGACCCAGCTGGACAGCAAATGAGAGCCAATTAAATCAGAGATGATTGACAGCTACGTTTGGGGAGGCTGTGCCCACCTGTAAGCACATGTCCCTAAGAAAGCAGAACAGAGACAGCAGTATTGCATTTTACAGAGAAGGAGAGAAACACCATATGTCAGGCACTGAGTCTTTTCAGATAACCTTTTATTTTTCATTGTCAATGATTACCTTTTGAGCATACAATAGGGACATCATGATTATAATGAATAAAAAAATATAGATGATAGGATAAAAATACTAGGTTATACAAAGTTAGTTTTTGAAATCATTGTTCAACAGGTTCAGGACTTTGGAGTGTTTACATTCCCAGCAGTTAAAACATTAAGAACACATATGAGAATCGTACGCGACACCTCTTTCAATAAAAGGAAGGTCCACACAGATTAAAACATGTCCCAAAAACCATCATATATACAAACTCCTGTACAGAACGAAGACGGAAAGAATCCACCCAATCAAAACCATCCCTCGTGCAGACAAATTCTGTTTGAACCAAGAAAGAAAACGTATCTTCCTATTTCTGTTTTCCATCTGATCCAATATCTTTAATGGTGTTGCCACTCCATAAATTAGTAACTGTTGAGTAGCTAAAGGAATATCCTATTTTAAATTATATCCCAAGAAACCAGGAACTTCCTGACAGGGTTGACCTTGTTGCCTGCTACAGGATGAAGATACACGCGACCAGGAGAAGGTCAAAGGACCAGCTGCAACAAGGGGGTGGGTGAGCCATCCTGTGACAGAGCATGGCTTTGGGCCGACAGCACAGAGGAGGGTTCCTGCACTCCGTCACCATCCAGCTTCTCCAGGACGATGTGAGAACCTCCCGACTTGGCTCAACCCAGCTCTGTGGGGCTCCTTGCTCATGTAACTCATTTGGCACACACAGAAGGGGCTTCTGGGCAAGACTCCGGCTCTTCCAAGACCGACGCTCTCAGGGGCCCCTGACTTTGACACACACACACCCCCATCCCAGCTCCAGGCCAGCCCTGCTCTGTGTCGCTAAAGGCTGCTCACTTGATGGTTAGGAATGAACTCCTGTGAGGAAAATGGTGGCTCTGAATGTTAGGCATGGCAGGTCCAGGGAGGTCAACATCAGATGCAGGAGACGACGCAGAGGGAGAGGGCAGACAGGCATTCTTGCTGTATCACTGCACGATCCCAGAGTCCACTGAGGTCTGCTTGCGAGTCGTCTTTGGGGGCGGAGGCGGAGGGGTTTTGCTGGGCAGTGGAGGCGGCAGATGCTAGAAAACATGAACATGAAGAAGATACCTGTTACTGACGCTCAGACCAAGAAGGACATGGCTCTCTGGGAGAGGCCTAGCACTGTTTTGTACTCCCTCTGGACCTAAGTGACCCAGGATGCATTCCGTGTGACTCAGGCCTGCAGTATGAGTGTGCTCAGCACAGCACTGCGTTCCTGGTAGCAATGGCTCTCTGGCACCTCTGTTCAACCACTTTTCACAGAAGTCTGCCCAGCCCCCCAAAGTATAACCGCTTGCTTTGCATGCTGTCTTAAATCAATATGTCATTGATGCCCAGATTCTATAGCAGAATCTGATCAAAAGGGGGAAAGTGTGGAACAGGACTCCAAATCCTCCTGGAATCCAGATTTCCTGGAGTCACTGAGGCTAGATAAACTCCCAAAACTATTGCCCTGAGATATACTCTTTAAATCAAAAGTACTCCCTGAATTCTTATTGAAGCCAAACAGTAGTTTAGCTTAATTAGTACAGAACATCTGCCTTGAGCAATCTGCCCTTTTGAACCATATATGGGATCAAATGGACAACAGGAACTCAGAAGGTTAGATCAGAGGCTCGGGGGAGTGAGTTTATGTTAATGAGAGAGGAACAATTTGTAAAAGGAAGGTCAGAATAGGTACACAGTTTGAAAAATGTAATCAGTGACCCTGAATTATGCACGTAGAAATTGTTGTCACTGATCCATAAATGCTCATAAGTAGATGAACAGATAAACAAAATGTGGTCTGTCCATATAATGGAATATTACTTGGCTATAAAAAGGAATGAAGTATTGATACATGCTGTAACATGACATGACACACATGTATACCGAGTCAAAGAAGCCAACACCAAAGAACAAATACTGCATGATTCCACTGACAAGACGTTTCCAGAACAGGTAATAGAGACAGAAAGCTGAAGGGTGGGTGCCAGCAGCTGGAGGAGGGGAGGGATAGGGAATGCCTGCTTAGGGGGCAGGGTGTTTTCTTCCAGTGTTGGAAATGTATGGAACTAGAGGTGGTGGCTGAATGTGCTAATTATCAGTGAATTGTCCACTTCAGTTAAATGGTGAGTTTCATGTTCTATGAATTTCACCTCAGCCAAAACAAAGACACCATTGACCTAGTGGTCTCTGGAAACGGGCTGGTTTCAGAATCAGACAGTTTATTGGTGGACAAGCAAGTGCGATCTCAGCCAAGGTCAACAGCAGAAGTCACTTTCACTAGATCCAAAGCACTGAAATTAGAAATAACCCACAAGTAACAGTCCCAAATACCGAAAGTCATGAAGCAAAACAGTGCAAAGCCCAGAAGAGCTGAGACCAAAATGAAAGATGGACAAAGTCACGGCAGGGTTGGTCAGGAACGGGAAAGGTGAAGAGACAATCATTACACACACGCGCGCACACACACACACAAACACACACACGACCAGGAACAAAACACTGGGAAAGGTGAAGAGACAATCATTACATGCACGCGCGCACACACACACAACCAGGAACAAAATGCTGGGAAAGGTGAAGAAACAATCATTACATGCACGTGCGCACACACACGCACACACAACCAGGAACAAAACACCAGAAAGAAGCCACAAACTTCAGATGTAGCGACAGGGTTTCAAACTGGTAAAAGAATTCTCTCTACAGCTTGATATGAATATGTATGAAAAACCAGATAAAACAGATACTCTTCTAGGGAAATATAAATGATAATGTTGTTGTTGTTATGTGCCCTCAAGTCGGACCCGACTCATAGCAACCCCTCCTTGGGTTTCTGAGGCAGTATCACTCACTACGGAAGTAGATTGCCCAACCTTCCTTCCAAGGAGTGGCTGGAGGGTTTGAACCGCCAGCCTTCTGGTTAGCAGTCAAGTGCCTTAGGCACTACACTACCAGAGCTCCTATAAATTATAATAGTGGACCAAAAAAAAAAAAGAGAGAGAAAAGAGCAAATACACCTGGTAGAGCAGGACCCAGAGCCACCCAGGCAACGTGACATTGTGCCAGCGGCGGTTCCTCAGTGTGGATCCGTGGGCCCAGAGGATGCTCCAGACAGTTGGGGGCACCAAGTCTTGTGAGAAGGTCTCCCAGGGGTGAGGTGTGAGGCCCGCCCTTACCCCTTAAACTGGAACAGACACATCCGAGGGGGCGGGGTAGGAGGGGTGGCGTCAAAGGAGGCTCCAGGGGCAATTATCCTGGGTGGAGGGGCTTGGGGGTGGGCAGGCATGACAACCTTGAGTGTGCACACCTTGAGTGTGCACGCCCTGAGTTAGGGAGACCATGGAACGGTCAAAAGGTAATTGGAAAACTAGATTTGGAACTTGGTAGTGATACTGCCTCGGAAACCCAAGGAGGGGTCGCTATGAGTCGGGTTTGACTCGACGGCACATAACAACAGCAACAACAAGGGAAGCTAAGGATGGGAAGAAAACATGGGGCCCTCTGGCCAGTAGAGGTGGGAGTCACCGCTGGGGGTGAGAGAAGGGGTCCTGGCTGGCAGGAAGCAGTATGGTGGTGAGGCTCTCGCAAGGGGCAAGAGGTGACGGAGAAGCAGGGCCTGACCAGTGCCCATGTGGTGTCATGTGAGGATCCTGACATTTCTTAAGCAATATTTAAAAGTTCCCCTTAATTTACAATGATTTCTTCCCAATTCAGTTCACACCAAGAAAATTCTACGAGCCTGAATTAGTTCACCAAGAACAAACAAGCCCTACTGAGGGCCTGCTGTGTGCAGGGCCGCATTCTCTCAGAAGGTGTTCTAATCCCCCTTCATCTGGGGAAACTGAGGCCTAGGAGGGTGGGTGACCTGTTCAAGGTCACACAGGTGGTGGGAGCAGAGCCAGGGCTCCAGCTGGCTCACTGACGTTTCCGCAGCAGATCCCAGACCTCCATGAGGAGGGCCAGCTCGATCCCCCGCCGTGCACCCCCGCACAGCCTGCCCGTCTGTCCTGTGTGTTGTCAGGACCCTGAGCAGGTTTCAGCGGAGTTTCCAGACAGGAAAGACTGTGAAGAAAGGCGTGGGGACCTGCGTCTGAGGATCAGCCAGCGAGACCCCTCCCAACCATGCGGCTGTGCTGATCCAGGCAGCATTGGCTACATCGTGACAGGGTGGCCATGAGCGGGGCCGACTGGACAGCATCTAAGAACAAGTCTGCCCCCCGCAGGGCCCCTTCTGCCGTGCACGCCCCGCCCCGCACTGGCCAGCTGCACCCACGGGGAGTGCGTACAGGCAGACCTCGTTACATTGCGTGTCACATGCTCACGCTTTGCACAGATCGCGTTTGTTTACAGATTGAGGGTGTGTGGCAATCCCACGCCGGCAAGTCTGCGGGTACCACTGCCCAGCAGCACATGCTCTCCGAGTGCCCCCGTGTCACATTCTCATCATTCTCCAACACTTCAAACTTTTACGTCATGCCATTGCACACTTAGGAACTCCGGTGGTGCAGTGGTTAAGGGATTTGGCTGCTAACCACAATGTCGGTGGTTCGAAGCCATCAGCCCCTCCATGGGAGAATGATAAGGCAGTCTGCTTCTGTAAAGATTTACAGCTTCGGAAACCCAGTGGGGGTCGCTATGACTCGGAGTTGACTGGATGGCAGTGAGTTTGTTTTTGGTTTTGGTTACTGCACACATAATTGACTGCAGTATAGTGTAAACCTAACTTTCATATACACTGGGAAACCCCCAAATGCATGTGACTTGCTTTATTATGGCAGGCGGAACTGAACCGCCACCATCTCTGAGGTGCACCTGTGTTCCCTGAGTGCAGGAACCCAGATGCCCATGTGGCAGCAAGTCTCCACAAGGCATCAGCCTTGTTTGGCTACTTACTTCAAAAGACATGTCTTGAAAAAATGGGAATACTGTGTGCTTTGGGGAAGAAGTGGGGCCCAGGGGTCTCTACTAGGAGGAGATTTTTCACTCTAGCCCTTGGTCCCATTTGAGGGTATATATTTTAAATGTGCATGCCTTCCTGTTCTCATTTTGAAACTATCTTGTTAGTAGAAAATATTTTCATGGTACTACAGTGATGACTCGTTATTCAGGAAAAACCAGGAAACCAGGAGGCTTGGCTATGCCCTCTGTGGTGGTTCACCCAAGCATCCGACCAGATGGGATTGGGTTTTACTAAAGATTTTTTTAAAAAAGATATGAAATGGTATATCTATATATCTATATATCTATATCTATATATCTGTTGTTGTTGTTATGTGCCGTTGAGTCGGACCTGACTCATAGTGACCCCTCCTTGGG